CCTCGCTCTCGTTGATCATGAGGATCTGGTGGGTCTCGGGCTGGTTTCCCAGCGTTGTTGGGTGGTACTAGTCTCCCAACTCTCTCTGACAGCAAGCCGTAGGAGGCTCATCCTCCCGCCAGAGAGTCATCCTATACCCAATGCCAGCATTGCCCACCGTCCTCCATTTGCTTGGCGTCGTCATCTCGGCCGTGGAACAGCGTGCACGGCGACTGCCCAAGTAGTGTGGGTTCCGCCACTGTTTGCCGGTGGCGATCTCCTCTACACAGTTGATGTAATACGGCTCGATGATGCCGTTGACCCCTTCAGAGAGCAGCACACCATTGTCGGACCAGCAGAACTCGATCCCATCCTTCAAGGCCTGGCGCCAGTCAATCGAGATGATGACCTCGGAATCAGGGTCCCATCAACTCTGCACGTCACGACGCTGAAGCGTTGGAACAAAATGGTCGTGTGAACGGCCAGTTCCTTTCTTCTTGGTGTTGTGCTCTCTGCGGCAGGAGAGGCCTATCCACACGATGCCCTCGAAGGCTGCCCACCGTGTGCCGTGAATGGCGACATCGGGGCATGGGGCCGGTCTCCCGGCAGGGTTGTCGTGCAGTACAATGTACTTGTACAACGACCAAGGGGCCATGAGCGTCCACGAGTGCCCCTGCGAAGCACGGATGAACAAATCGGCTGTGCCAGAATCTCGCATCAAGACCTTGAACTGTAACCGCTGCTTCTCCTCTCCGTCCGACTCGCGGACGTGGACGATCGCCATCATGATTGCAGCCATCTGATCGACCGTCCTACCGTAGAGGGTCTCGGCGATGATCTTGGCATCATCGTACTTCGGGTTGTACCCGTCGCGCCGCATACCGTCGCCCCAGGGGAACTCGTGCACGAGCTCGTGGAGGTTGATCCATCCATCGTGGTCGTCGAACGTCCTCAGCCTCCACACTGGATTGTTCGATCTGTCGGGCGCGTGCCTACAGATCTTGCTAAGGCACTTACTGAGCTGCTTGAGCTTGTAGTTAGTGCCAGGAATGATGTTCTTTTGTCGGCAGCTCTAAGTGCCTCATCAACCGAACGTATCGGTGGAAGCTTCCGTAGAGCACGTCAATCGTTGATCAACTCCTGGCCCCCGCTCGTGAAGGAGGTGTCGCCTGGGTGGCGCAGCTTATCTTCTGGCGGCTTTCCCCGCAATGGAGCCTCTGCCGCTGACGAGGCTGCAGCTCCTGATGATGAAGATGCTGCGGCTGCAGCGCCTGGCGGGTTTCCCCGCGGCGTCTCTCGGCTGGCGCTGCTCCTGATCTTATTAGGCACCCAGGTACCCCGAGGCAAAGCACCCTCCTCGGACGCCTTGGAGCGCGTCGCCACTGGCGAGGCCGGCGTAGGGGTATACCCTGTACGCTCGGACGCCTGACGCCTTGGCCTTGCTGGCGATGGAGCCACTCCGGCTAGGCTGACGCCTGCGGATCTCCAGGGAGTCCTGAGGCTGTTGCCTGGGGTCAGGTCTCTGCGCAGGCATTGCTCGAGTCGATGACTTCGGCACTTCGGAGAAGGGCCTTCCCATCTGCACGTCGAACCCGAGCTCCTCTGAGCGGGTAGAAGAATTCTTCTGTCTTTCGCCCGAAGGCGTCCTGTATTCACGAGTCTCGCTTTTAGCTTTTGGGGTCGTCGGTGGCTTCTTTGCTTCGGCTTGTGACTCCGACAGCATTCGGCGAGTTGCCTCGCGGTTGCGCTCTTCTGCCAACCGCTTGCGCTCTGTCTCTGCTGCGACTCGTTGGACCTCCTGCTCGTCGTCGCTCGTCATCTCGTACGTTCGAGCCTGACTGGAGACGCCGGGCGGGTTTCCCCGCGGAGATCGAGTCTCCTGAGCAGGAGGATCGTAGAGGCGCATGGCCTCGAGACGGCTATTGACCGCATCAATTTCCTCTTGGGTCATGGGCACAAGAGGTGGATGACCCTCCTTTGCAGGAGTGCGGCCCCTGTTAGGGCTCAAGACGTCACTGAGGCCGACAGGGCAGCCAGGTCTGTGTTCCTGGAACTCCTGTGAGCACGGACCGCAGGCCGCGTTGGGCCTGTAGCGGCGGCGCTCCTCGATGATGGCTCTCAGCTGTCTCCGCGCTGCCTCTTTATCGGGACGTCGAATGTTCGTCGCGAGCTGATAGCCACCCCGTATGGACCTGCCTTGGGCGTCCCTGTAGATCGGGTTGCCCTGTCCAAAGGCAGAGCGCTCGCACGTTTTGCGCCGAGGGTCGTTGTAGGCGAGCAGCTGACCCCCCCGTCGAGCGGCATGCTCTGATGGGGCTGCCTGCCTCCATTCACGTGGGAGCCGTCCTTGGGGGGGGCGGATCGCCCCTAAGACGCGGATGTGAGCGAGACCTCCTGGCTCGTTTATCGGACGACGCTGCTGACGTAGCCTGGACAGGAACTGGCGTGGTTTCCTGAGTAGGCGTAGGCAGCCCCTCCTGGACAGGCAGGTCTCCCTGCTGACTGGAGTCAGGCATGATTGGCTCTTGCGCGGATGGTTGTGCGTCGGAATCGTCTGGGTCGAAGTCCACCTCCTCGTCTTCGCCATTGACGTCCATCATGAGGATGGTGGTCTCACCCTCGCAAAGTCCACAGCCGTCTTCATCTTCAACATCTGAAGTAGGATTGCCAATGACAAGGGTCATTGGCCCAGTCGGGACAGGCAGGTTTCCCTGCTGTAGAGGCGTCTGAGCACCGCTAGGCTGTCCCGGCGTCGGCGGCACGGTGGTCGGACCAGGCTCGTTACCGAGCACGGCGTGCGCCTCAAGCTGAGCATAGTCATAGGAGGGCTGCCCGATGATGTCGCGCATGGCCGCATGGTTGGGCTGCAGCCCCACCGCCTGGAGGCCCCATCCCGGCGGAGGAGGCGCCTGTTCACGCATAGTGATAGCCCTCTGAAGGGCTTGGCGCCAGCGCCCCTTTGCATGCCATACGTGCCGCTGCACGTCGTCAGGGAGCACGCTGTCGATGAGAGTGAAGGCCGCCAGCAACAAGTCCGAGTCGTCACAGACATCGGAGTCTTGCAGCATCAGGTGGCCGCTCTCAACGCTCTGTTGACTATCAGGATACTCTTCAGCTTGAGCGGCATGCATCCGCATGAGGGTCTGCAGCACCGTGCATGGTCCGTACTCGCCCGGCGCGAGCATACCAGGTGGCTCGTGAGGATTGCCCGGCACGCCCACGGTGAAGGCCTGAGCCCCCAGTTCCATCAATTCACAATTGCTTGGCGGATGCACAGGAGTGGGCCTGTCTCCAGGCAAGGGGTCAGATTGCCGTCGAAGGTTGCACTCGATCTCAGAGGGTGAGGCCCCGACAGTGACGTCCTCGTCGCTGCTCTCGAAGGCCATGATGTCGCCTGGATTGCCGAACATCCAGTCGAAGAAGCAAAAGGGCTGGTTTCCCAGCGTTCCGTTCTCCACAGGCGTGAGCTCGATGGCTCCGAAGTTGAACCTGCAGAGGTACTCAAGGTAGTACGCGTAGAGCCCGTGGCCGTGCGCCTCGATCTCGTCCAGAGCGTCCATGTTACTGACCCAAGTGAAAAAGATCTGTTCCACAGCCTCGAACTCTTGGAGGCTAAGATACTCAATAACAGATTCACTTGAGCCTAAATGGACTTCGGACGTGCTGCCCTTTCCATTCCTTTTGACTGGACAATCCTTCACAAGATGGTCTGTGCTGTCACATCCATGGCACTTACTTCAAGATCTGGCCGTCTCTACCGCGCGGGTTTCCCCGCCTACCTTTGCCTTTGCCTGAGGCTTCCCTACGGCCTTTTCCACGACCTTTCCCCCCGAAAAATAACATCAGACTGATCATCTGAAAGCCTCTGGAAGAAAGCCGTGATGCCTCGTCCGTTCAACCTTCGGCGACCCCGTTTGCCTTTGCCTTTGCCTTTGAAGCTCCTCCGTATCCTCCTCCTAACACGACGCACTGGTTTTCGCCTAAACCTCCTCCACCTACGCATTGCTTGTTGTAATACTCAAAATAGATGCTCGGCGCGCTGACTATCACCTTCCATTTGCATGATATCTGACCAGTCTAGTGGTTCGATGCCATCTGACGATATCGTGTCGGCGTCGGTGCCTGAGTCGAAAGCGTCGTTTCCTAGGAAGGTGGGGACTCCGTCGTTTAGGGGGTTCGCTTCTCCCCATAGAGAGCGATGAGGCTGAGGTTCTCTAGGAGGAGGGCTGGTTGTCCAGCTAGGGCGTGATCGACCCCTGCTAGTGGGGCAGTAGATTAACCAGGATCGTCGGCCCATATGTGTGTGGGCCCGTTGCCAGGCTGAGCTTCAGAGGTTAAGGTAACATAGAAATGTCCACTGCCAGTTCCCCTTCCCCTTCCAAGCACTGATCCTATGTTGCCAGGAGACCGTTCTGACAAATGGCCGATCGAGCGCATCCTCTCACGCAGTTCTTCATGCTGTTGTTTTCGGGGCATTTGGTGGTTGAGCGGTTGTAAGAGTTGCATGGCTCGCTGGTTGCCAACGCCTAGGGCGCGGAGCAGGATAGTCGTAAGTAGTTGGAAGTTGGGAAGGTCAAAGCCCACCGGTTGTGTCTCAAGGCGGGCCATTTCGAACCGAGTAAGGGTTGCGTCGATTCGTTCTCCGTGAGGCACGTTGAAGTTGATGAGCTGAGTGCCTGGGGCGAGCTGGCGCTCATCATCCAGGCGTTCGAACTTCAAGCTTAGGAGGAACATGATGTATGTTACTGGGTCGGTGTGGACACCGTCGATGTCCGCACCATAGTTTATGATGTCAGGTGGTACCCCCAAGGCGAGTGTCCTCGCGAGGCCGCCCAGGCCGCGTTGTATGGCGGCTGCTTGGGCTTGTGGCGTCATGCGCCCACTCGTGACGTTTGGCCACGCATTGACTTCATATACGTACTCGCGCAAAGGTACGTTGCCTTGAGGGTCCCAGCATGGGCCATGTGTTTGCCCATCGGTGCTATTATCTCCTCGGCGCACGTGTCCGATTGCCGCTCCCACGATTAGCGTTTATGCGAACGCTCGAATCGCAACTAAGCCATCACAGTTACGGACGAGTGCAAAATGCTGCTACTACTGCTAATGCCCCTAACCCTCCCTCACTGCATGCTCCCTGAGCTCACGTTTCAAGCTACACTGCAGAAGACTCAGACCAGGGGAGAGCCAGGATATTCATGCACTCCTCCTGCTCTCTCGGTGTCTCGTGGCGCCGGGAGAGCACCAAGCGCAAGTGCCAAGGTGGGCACCTGCACCCCCGTAGCCCTGCTGGGGTGTTGTGCCGCCGCCCTCGGGGGAGGAGCTGGCTCAAACGCCGCTTCCTCGCACTGCCGTGGATCTGACCCCAAGGAGCGCGACCGGCCCAAGCTGCGGGCTAGGAGCAGGCACCGTGGCCGCTTCCTAGCGCAGGGTGGCTTTCAAGGCTCGCTTGCTGGCCCCAGCAAGAACGACGAATCCAGCTAGCGACCACATGCCTTGAATCGCCTTGGCGTCCACGTGCTTGGTGCCAGCGTCTGCTGGGTTCACCTTCCCGTGGACCTTGTCCATGAGCACTCTGCCATCATGGACGGCACGCTGTAACCACAGCGCCGGTGTGTGGATGTGACGGATCCTACCGACACCTCTGCGGCTTGCAATGCCGATGCCGGCTGTAGCGTCGACTAACAGCTTCACTGGTTTAGCTACGTGGACTCCCATGTCCAGCAACATCTGAACAGTCCCCAGACCCACTGAGGCACCCTTGACTGCAGCGTAGAACTCGCTTTCGCCAGAAGAAAGGGCGATGACCCCTTGTGTCGTAGAAATTGCACGCACCATGTGCTTGCCGTAGAACGTCATAGTGCAACTTGTGGACTTCCGTGTCTTCAGACACCCGGCGTGGTCACTGTCCGTGAACACGGTCACCCGCCCCGGGTCTTCCTGCATGTGAAAACGCTGCACAAGCCGTCCGGCTCCGACCAAGAACCGCGCAGAACGTTTCAAAGCCTCCATGTCGGCCCGGGTCGGCGCTTGCATCGACCGCGCTAGCTCTTTGGATGCAAACTGGCACTCCGGCCTGTCCAAGGCAAGGTAAGCGAAGCGCATGACATTGCTACGATAAGACTCCCGCTCTTGCGTGCTCAACGGTGTCTCGTCGGACCCAGCTGCTCGTTTGACACCAGGGGTGGCTACTGATTTTGACTCCTTGGCGAGTCCCAAAGAAGCTATCAGAATCTCTGCGTGCCTCGGGTCCGGCTCCCACTCAACGAACTCGTGAGCTTCCCCTTTGAACGGAACCCTGACGTAGCGAATGAGTCTGTTGAGGCATCTTATTTCGTCTACGTCTCCTAGGTCTCTGCATGGCCCCAGTGTGCCTTCATGCTTGGTCAGCATGTGCTTGCCGAGCTCATCGTGGAACCATTTTTGTGCATCACGCTCTGCAAGGAGAATGAAATCATCACCGTGCCGCACACACAGCGCACCTCGATCAACATGGTAGTAGATACACGGATTGAAAACTCCAACCTTGAAGCCCAACGCGATCATAGAGGTTTCTGCCTTTGTGTCGAAACACTTGCCTGCATCACGTGTGCCGCACATCGCTTTCGACAGCTTTGCGATACCCGTCTTAATGCTATCATCTTCCACCGGGGGGATCACGCACAACGGTCTGAGAGCTGGGCTGTGGAAGTGTGCCCGGCTGATGTCGTACAAGCCTAAAACTCGTCTCTTGTCACGGGCAATCCCCAATTGCCCAGTCATCATCAAAGACGCCATCATCCGAACAGCTTCCAAAGGTGGCGTGGCTGCAAAGGTTGCGGCCATGTCTTTTGGCTCGCTTCCGATGGTGGAGCGGCGCTTCGTCTCTTGCGCCACTAGCCGGCTTCTGATGTTCATGTGGTCCTGGTCCCCCTTGTTGATGTCCAGCCATCTCACGGGTATTGGTTTGCAACCGTCTGCCTCCATCTCCTCACGGGTCGCCTCCCTATAGACACCTAGTTTTCTCATGCACTCTACCTCTAGGCGCCTAGCTTCGACGACAAGTTTGGGATCCAAGACTGCCCCAGTACAGTCATCAACAAAAATGCTGTCTCCGTACGTCTCAGACCAATCCCTTTCTGGCGGCGCCTCCTCTACAGTAGGCCCGCCCGCCTCCAAAGGCTCTAGTCTTCCTACCTCCTTCAGCTCCTGCCTCAATCCCTCCAGTACTCTAAAGATGACCTCTTGTGGAGAAGAATATGTGCAATGACGACTGGTACGATAACCTTTCACACCCAAGGAGTCCCGGAGTTTCGTACTATTGCTGATCCAACCTGTGGGTTTCTTGGCAGATCGTCCAACCACGCACTGATCCATGTAAACAGTACTTACACCATTTAGGGACAACACTTTACGTACACATGGTAATGCCCAACTTGCTGCATGCCACGCGTGCTCATGTAGAAACAACATACCATGACTGTGCTGATACTCGTACAACTTGCAAACGAACCTAGTGTGCGCGAGGCCTTTGTGGAGCTTCTCGTGGCCCCCCGGGGATCCAATTAATAAGTACGGCTGCTCTGCAACAACGTGCTTCCAGGCAAGCTGCCGGTGTTCAGGAAGATCGAAATCCCAACCTGTACGCAAATCCATTACAAGACCTGCACACAACCCAAAACGATTGACCTTTGCAGAAGATCCCGGCTGAGAGAAAACCTCATTTACGTGCACCTGGTCCCCTAACTGCATCATCATCTGAAGTACCTCATTGTGGCAATTTGCCTCAAAACGTAGCTCGGAGAGACACTCTCGCTCGTCACGTTGCCAATCTACCTTTGCCCTTTCTGCCTCTGCCTCTTCAAAGGCACAGAAACCCAGGAGCGACTCCTCGTCCCCCATCTCGGCGTCTGCCGCCGAGTCAGCGCCAGGATTGGCATCCCGGCCGCCTCCTGTCCTGCTTTGGGAGCCGGCACTCTCGCCGCGCCCCGTCTTCACGACCTCAGCTGGTCCTGCACTGGAGCCGGCACCGGGGCCGCTTCCAGCTACACTGTGGGGAGCGGCACTTTCGCCGCCTCCCGCCTTCCGTGCCCGAATTGGGTTCACACTGCCAGAGCTGGCACCTTGGCCGCTTCCGGCGCTCTCGGCGGATACGTCCATAGGAGCTTGCGTATCCAGATTCCCGTCCCCAGCGACATCTTGAGGCGGATGGCCGCCATGACTGGGAGCTGGCACTGTCACCGCTTCCCTCCTTTCGTTGGCTGCTGCTACCCTCGCGTCCCCCTCAGCCTCCATTGCCCTCTGAATCCTCCCCCTGCACTCCTCGCTATGATTCCTCGCTATCTTCTCTCCTCTCTGTGCTGCTTGGCATCCTAAGCACCCCTCAGTAAACCCATACCTTTTCAACTCAATCTCCTTTCTAATGTAAACTCCCCTCGGGAGAGGATCTCCGCCGGCACGAGGTGGAGGAGGGAGGTCACGATCTGGGACAACAGGCCGCACTGTCAACGGCCTGGCCAGAGGCGCATCTTCTTGGGATGCCCCTGATAAGCTAGAGGGCACCATTTTCCAAGGCGTTCCAACACACGACCTAAACAACGCTGGGTCGGAGGCGTCAGCCTTGCTCATTCTCTTCGCACTGCTGCTCCGGAGGCAACCGGAAGGTGTAGCGATGATGTACTCGTTGCTTTTGTCAACGAGCCCCACAAAAATACCTTCCCTCCATTTCGGTTTCTCGTCCGCCGGCTTCATCTTCGAGCCGCCCTCTATGAAGTGGACCTTTTCACCCCATGGCATCAAAGGCCTGGGAAACTTCAGCCTCCCTGTCATTCGCCCCCATCCGGTTTGACCGTCTTTGCCGACAACTGTCCTACTGATGAGTTGTCCAGCGTACTGGACACACCAAGGCAAGAGCGCAGACCGCTCCTCCTGCGGGATGCCGTGCAACTCCGCCGCATAATGCCAAAGACACCGGATTTTCGTTTTGATGATGTTCACGGCTGACTCCTGCAAACCTCCTGCCTGTGAATCCCCATGTGGCGTAAGATCGGGAACAACACGAATACCTAACTTCCTGACCTCCGCCGCCACTGCTGCCATCAAAGCCTTAATTGCGTTTTCCCCATCAGATCGTAATCGAATTTCAGGGTGCCCTAACATAGCCAGATGTTCAGTCAGCTGTTTGATTGCATGTTGATCTGCCCCCTTGTTGTGGACGACGTCAGAAAACGTGACTTTAGTACTGCTGTCCCTAGCCACCAGAATTGGAGCAGAATCCTCCGCCGAAGCCCCACCTGGACCCAGAGCGCCGTCCCGGAAGAAAGCGTAATCACAAGCTACAGTAGGGATGTCGCTACTCTCGCCACTTCCTGCGGAGTGTCCGTCTCGCCGCCCAGCTGCCGCCACGCAGTGCCGACACCAGGCCCGGTACGGATAGTGATCCACATTGTGATTTTCAATCTCTTGCGCGCTCGGCTGTCTGGGCCGCCGTCGTGGCTTGACCGGGGCCCTCTCCCCAAGCGCCTCTTCCTCGAACTCCTCCTCCATCCCTACATCCTCCTGTGCTTCCTCCTCTGCTCTGCCCTCTGCTCTCTCCTCTGCTCTCTCCTCTGCTATTGGTTGTAGTACATGGTCGTCGCCATCATCATCGTCATCATCATCATGGACATCTCCTCCTTCTCCTCCTCCTGTCTTTTTCCTTCGGTCCCCGATGTAGTAGTACCCGGTTCGAGTACTGTGGGCGCTAGCACTTCCGCCGCTGCCCGGCTGAATTGGGGTATTGTGGGCGCTGGCACCGATGCCGCCGCCCTGTGCTTCCGTGCAGGTTTTGGTGAAAGGAAAACTGTTTGCCCCGCAACAGGGTCTTCTATGGCCGTTGAAGGCCGCACAGAATCTGCTAGGGCTGGCACCGCCGCCGCACCCAGCTAAAGTGAAACTCGTGTGTGGTGTGTTTCGGGTGAAACTGTCTCGGGCCACGTTGGCCCCGCTGGGGCTGGCACCGTCGCCGCTCCCAGCACTGTCAGGCATCTGACCGTCAGCCACACGAGGGCTTACGGGCGAACGCCCTGCCTCGAGAAAGGTCCCGGCTGCTGCCGAACCTCCTCCAGCTGGTCCTGCTTCATGGAGATGTGCACGGCCCCGTCCGCCGCCTTGACGATCTTTGGGCCTGGCTTCTCCTCCACGCTCGTCGTCTCCCTGCTCGCCCGCAAGGCGGACAAGTACTCCTGCTGCACCTCGTTCGCCACCTCCGGGGCCTCCAGCTCCAGGGTGAGGTCCCAGCCGCCCTCCGTGCGGACGAACTCCTGCTCGCGCCCCGTGGCCTTGTCGTAGGCGAACGACCGGTCCCAATCGAACGCGACAGTCTGCCCCGCACGGCACATGTCGATCACGGCCATGAGCGGGTTCCGGACGCGAGCCGCCCGGGTGCGCAGGCGCTGTGGCTGGCCGTTGGGCCCTCCAGAAGCCTTCGTCTGGAGAATCCTCTTCCCCTCGTCCTTCACTACGGCTGACCCGGCCGTCTTGTAGACCCTGCCGGTCTCTCCATCCGTCCACGTACGGTACCCACGGACTGCAGGATGGTCGGGGCGCACCACCGTCTTGCAGGCGCCGGAGTCAACCCTGAAGGTGATGCACCGGTTCTCGCGGTCGCGCCTCACCTTGTCGTTGGAGAGCGAGCACAGGTACCCGAAGTCCTCCGCGCCCTGCTCCTCCATCTCGTGGAGTCCCTTCTTCTTCTTGGCCTGGTAGGCGTCGACCACGTGCTTGGGGGCTCGGCAGTCCCGGGCAAAGTGCCCTGGCCTGCCACACTTGTGACAGCCCCCCTTGCTGGAAGATGCTGCCCCGCCGTTCTTGGCGGATGCCTTGCCTCCTCCTGGTGCCCAGCACTGCTCCTTGGTGTGGCCAGGCTTTCCACAGTTGTGGCAAGTCTTCCTGGGTGCGTTGTCGTACCCTTTTCCGCCACCGCGGCCTTTGCCACCGCCTTTGCCGCCTCCCTTCTGGTTCTTGGGGCTCTTCCAGCAGTCTTCCGCCTTGTGGCCAGGCTTCCCACAGACGAAACACTTTCCTGCCCCCTTCCCGGGCTTCAGGGCTCCGAGATCCATCGGAGATGCTGTCGCGAGGTGAGGCGTGGAGGAGCTGGAATCTCAAGTTTCGCTCGTACGTCGGGGCCATGAACAAAGGTCAGGTGGGCATCTGGATGGACTACGTGGCCGCGAACAGGGACACGAGTGCCAAGAGGGCGGCCATCGATCCCAAAGCTCAGCCGAGCTCGTCCCTGCTGTACGGGAGCCTCATCGCCACGTGCGATGGAAAAGTTTGACCATCGTAGAGCGAGCCGGTGAGGGAGAAGGGCTTGAGGCCTGGAGGCTGCTTCTCGCAAAGTACGACGTACAGACACGACAGACGCGGGTCATCAGGATGATCCAGATCCTGCAGTGGGATTTCAAGAGCGGCGACTTGTTGGACAGGCTTGAGGCTCTAGACCTGGCCGTGTCAAAGTACGAGTCCGCCACCGGGAAGGTGATCGATGACGACACGAAGATCGGCATCGTGATCAAGGGCATGGAGGCCGGCGCGCTGCGCGAGCACATGCTGTTACATTCTGAGCGGTGTGTCACGTACGAGGAGTTCCGGGAGGAGGTGGGCACCATCGCCGTCGCACGTGTCTGGAAAGTGTTGGATTTGAGCCTATCCCAGGCTGGGAATGTGTGTGGAGACAACAAACTGTGATTGATACTTTCAGTATACGTGGACGACTCCAAACTTGCAGGGCCAGCCACCAACTTACACGCCGGCTGGGATCTGACCCGCAAAAGCAGCATTGATTTGGATCCGCCTACTCCGTACTCTCAATACCTTGGCTGTGGGCAACAGGCACACGACGTTCCCCAGAACGTCTTCGACAAAAGAATGTCTACCATTCGACCTATGTTGCCTGCCCGCAGTGACAAGGATTATCATACAGCTAAACAAGTTCGTGGAATACGACATGACATGCTTGGCTTTACTGATCAATGTATTGAACGCTACCTGGAGTGCGCCTCCAAGCGTGCCCAAGGGCCAGGGTCGCGTCGTAAACGGTCTGACTCCCCGAGGGCTTCGCGATCCACATCGCCTAGCTCCTCCGGGTCGGTCGTGAGACCCACTAGCGCACTCAACGCGCGGTCGCGATCATCCAGCCCAGCTGGGTCGGTCGACAGACGTTCTACTGCGGCACAATCCACGACAGCCACATACGATGACCTACCCGACGCAGAGACTCCTGGCATCGAGGACGCATTTTTTACCGAGTCCGATTACTCCGACGAGGGTATCCTCGGCCAGGACGCGGCGAGTGTATTGATGAAGATTCTCTATCTGGCACGCTGTTGTCGCTTCGATCTTTTGCATCCAGTATGCATGCTAGCCACAGAGATTACCAAATGCAATACCACGTGTGACAAACGCCTTCATCAGCTGATATGCTACATCAAAACGACGCGTACCCATTGTTTACATGGGTGGATTGGCGATGCTTCGGATAAGCTATCCATCGTGCTCTTCGCTGACGCCTCGTCTGCCGATTGCATCACCTCCTCCAAGTCCACTAGTGGCGTCTTCGCGGCGCTGGTTGGACCCAATACGTTCTTCCCCGTCAATGCCGTGTGCAAGAAACAGACGGTCGTCTCGCACTCATCCACAGAGTCCGAGATCGTTGCTCTTGACTCGGCGCTACGACTGGAGGGACTACCACTACTCTCATTTTTGGAGGCCGTGGTGGAGGTTGCCAGCACCTGCAAAGAGAAGACGACATGCCTGGGCTGCCTGGGACGCGCCGCTACGGCGATATGTCCGACTCTGGCCGCCAAACAGAAGAGGCGCAAGCCATCGCCTCGTAAAGCATCCCCTGCACGGGGATCTTCTCCTAGCCGTAGGCAGCTACCGCTGAAGACGGAGCTACCTACGCCTCCAAAGAGGCGCACGACATCCCACGAGGGTGCCGTGCTACACGTGGACCCAGAGCCTGTTCAGGAGAGCAGCTCTCCCAAAGTGCGTCTCATCGTCCTAGGGGACAACCAGGCCGTGATCAAGATTGTCCAAAAGGGACGTACACCAGCACTTCGTCATCTTCATCGTACTCATCGTATTAACTTGGATTGGATATGTGAGGCATGCCAATTCGAACACATTGAGCTCAAGTATGTAGGTACAAAACAAATTGCAGATATGATGACTAAACATTTTGAGCCAAAGAAAGCAGATCTCTGGACGGATCTATTGAAACTCTCGC